ATTTATTTAATAAAAAATAATCATCAAATCAAATTAATTTTCTTGTATTAAATAAATGTATTTATATTTAGTAAATATTTAGTTGGTATAATTCAAATAAATATTTATTACAATTTAGTAAATTTTTGTAGTGCATATGCAAGTATACAGCACATATATTTCCATAAATTATAATTAATCTTAACAGTCACATTAAATATTACATAATTATAAATATGCAAAAGCATTGCTATTAAAAAATAAATTGTAGTGTGTGCAAATTATATTATTTCTATATCTTTCGCATTCCAATGAGTACCTTTGTCTATATCTAAATCCTCTTTGATAATAATCAAACGTAACTCTGAAAGATAGAAGCATAAAAGAAATATAATCGTGTATCACATAGACATCTGCACTTGTAGATTTATACTGGTCTCAATTTAGCTTATTCCAGTATTTTTATGAACCTACAGATACTGAAAATCCCAAATCAGAAGAAATTCTCTCTCTCTCTCTCTCTCTCTCTATATATATATATATATATATATATTTAAGGAAACCAATCAAGTCAAAAACATCTAAACATTGCTCAGAGATATCGCAGTGGCATGTAAGGCGCAGCTTGATATCTAAATATTAAACGACGGTATGTAAGACTCGGAGAGCCACATCGAACAACACAAATGTGCTATCATGCTGGATCTTTCAGCCAAGGTGCGACTTCCCCGATGCTTCCGTGGTTGAGCGTACCGCGCCGCCGAATGCCCGCGGCATTCTTCGGCAGATGTCGAAAGATCCAGAACAATCCGGAGGGAAACCCCGTAATCTCGAGAAATCGCCCGGAATGCGTAAACACCAGTGAAACGCGACGTTCACGCTCGTTTGTTTCTACTCACCACGCTAGTCTGGCTGAGGGCCATCGTGGCACGACACGCACGATCTGCGTGAACGCACGCCCGACCGGGAAGAAAAGCAAAACACCGATGATCCGCGAGGATGTTATTTCGCCCGAGTCGTTACAGAACTCTCAGAAGCCACACCGGTGCATCGCCAAGGGACGGGGGCAGAGAGGTCCCGGAAGCCTCGCACATGGATCAGTACTCGTAAAAGCAAAATGCAAAGCGTACGGCAACAGTTCAGTTCACTTCACTCCGTTCCGCGCTCCGTCCTCGACAATTCCTGACAATCGGTCACAATCCCCGACGGCTCGACACCTCGACAGTCCACGAAGGCACGAACACTATCGACAACTGTCGGCAATCTTCGGGCTGGCCCGGCTCCCGGCTAGTCGTCAACTCACGCATGCTTGCAATCTACGATACAGGCGCTCGGAGGAATTTACCAATCACAGTCTATTATTTCTCTCTCATTCAACTGCGATTGGTCTGCTCTTAAGGTCTGTTCTTTTTGCCGGACTCTTGCACGGTCATCTTTCTTTCTTTTTTCTTAAAAAAAAAAAAAAAATGGAGCATTTATATTAGCCATATTCCATAATCTGTATGAATCGACTAATTACAGCCGAAAACATATTCCTGTTTTTCAGTTGCTTACATCATGCGCTTGAGAGGGAAATAACTTGACCGCCATTGGTCATACTTTCAAAAAATGAATCGTGCAAGAAGTTCAACTAAAAAAAACATACATTTTAATAATTATTGAATATCAAATAGAGAGAAACTTCAGAGCGGCCATCCCAACTTTTTTCCTGTATGGGCACAGCTAAATCCCGGGCATAGTCCGCTCTCAGGTTGACGTCACATGGAGCAGAGTTAGCAGAAATTACAGCGGAACGAAACAGTGAGACCAATCACAATCGCAGAAAGGAAAACAGAGTAATGATATTGCAGAGTTTTAATTGATCTTACTGTTCTGTTCTGACAATTAATTTAGATAATCTCTCTTATGTGCTTTTAATCAGAATGACGTCACGCGACAAATCTCGCCATGTTCGAAATGAACCAATCAACGAAGAATCGGGAACAGCTGTGCCATTGCGAACGACATTTTATATCCGAGTTTTATGTATGTGTGTCAAAATTTGTTAGTATGCGTCATGGCACTTGAGAAGTTTTTATGTGGACTGTATATGTACAAAAATATGAATTCAGCGTGAGATATTCGTGCGCGTAATACTTTAACCACACTTGAAGGTCTAATCCAACTGTCAAAATGAACGTCGTCACCGCTTTGAAGTTTTATATAACGAGGATGACAGATGACAGCGGCCCTGGTATGAAAGTTCTGTTAATGGATAAACAAACGGTAAGCACGATAAATGCTGTGAATCACGTTTGTTTTTTTTTTTATAGCTGAACTCTTCTGTCCCTCCTTTTCTTCTTCAATTACATATATATTTCACTTTAAACATAAACAATATAACAGTGGTGCGTTCAGAATCGTTGTCCGGATGCACCCAGATGTTTTATCTTTGTTGTTTACGAATGATAAACAAGAGTAACATGACACCTGGGTGCACTCAGATGATGATTCTGAACGCAACCCAGCTGTTTAAAAACAATAATTGATAGGTTTCAAAAATTGCCATTTCTCTGTTATTTTTTCAAATTTCAGACAAGTATAGTTAGCTTGCTATATAGTCAATCTGAGATATTGATGAGAGAAGTATACCTATTCGAACGGATAGACACTGCTGCACATAACGACACCTTGAAACATTTGACATGCATAGTATTTGTAAGACCGACCAAGGAAAATGTTGATTTGCTTTGTAAGGAGCTTAGGTACCCTAAATACGGAGTATATTATATTTGTGAGTAACATCATGCCTCTATAAAAATTATGTTCTTAATAATTAGATGTTGAAGAAGTAAGCTGAAAACTAAAAGTAATAATTGCTAATAAACTTAATTAGATTTTAGTAACATTATTGCCAAAGCGGATATAAAACTTCTGGCGGAAAGTGATGAGCTAGAGGTAGTCAGGGAAGTACATGAATTCTATGCAGATTATCTAGCAATTAATCCACACTTATTTTCGCTTGGAATAAATGCCTGTTCTGAAGGTAGTGTTCTTTTGTGAACTTGTTGCTATTATATAGATGTAAGAAATTATATTTAACAAAGACTATTTTTCATATTATTCATTTGTGTTACAATTAAAGGATTGACTTGGGATCCAGTGCATTTACACAGAACTGTCCAAGGAATTACTTCTGTTTTGTTATCACTAAAGAAATGTCCATATATTAGATACCAACATAGTTCAGATATGGCAAAGAGATTAGCAGAGAAAATAAGAGAAGTGCTCAGTAAAGAATCAAGTTCTTTTGAATTCAGACAGGAATCTAATCCTCTCCTTCTAATAGTTGATAGGAGAGATGATCCTATCACGCCGTTACTGAATCAATGGACGTATCAAGCAATGGTACACGAATTATTAACAATTAATAATAATCGAGTTAACTTATCTCATGTGAAAGGCATTTCCAAAGAATTGAAAGAAGTTGTTCTAAATGCGGAACATGATGACTTTTATGCAAACGTAAGAAAATTTATTCAATTTAATATGTGCATTTATATTTGAAGCACTAGCAAGTAGATATAATAAAAATGATACTTTTGAATGCAATTTTATATATAATTATTTTGATTTTTTGAATAATTTTATTCTTCAGTCTTTATATAAACTTCATTTTTTATGAAAGACTTTTTATGTAAAAGAATATATTCTTGAGCAGAACTTGTACCTAAACTTTGGAGAAATAGGACAAACAATAAAAGAATTGATGGATGAATTTCAAAAGAAAGCAAAGAAGCATCAAAAAGTTGAAAGCATAGCTGATATGAAACACTTCGTAGAGACGTATCCGCTTTTCAAGAAACTTTCTGGTACTGTATCAAAACATGTTACAGTAGTCGGAGAACTTTCATCTCTTGTGGAAAAGCACAATTTGTTGGAAGTATCAGAATTGGAACAAGAATTAAGTTGTCAAACCGATCATTCTTCGCAGGTGGTATCTTCATAAAACGATTAAAAGATTTTTATGTATATATATATATTTTTTTTATCGTTGTTTACAGCTGCACAAGATAAAAGCACTTATCAGCAATCAGAAGGTACGAGATGTGGATACTGTTCGACTCGTCATGCTTTATGCTCTACATTATGAAAAACATGCGAGCAATGATATAAACGGTTTAGTAGAATTACTTAAGAAGAGGAATGTTTCAGACAAATATATTAAGGTATTTATACATAACTAAATGTTTTCATGATAAATGGATATACATATATAATATACAAATCTAACATATTTCCAGCTTGTATATAATATACTAGAATATAGTGGTGTTAACACAAGACAGAGTAATTTATTTGATAGAGAAGCAGTTGCTAAAATAACCAAAAAGTTATTCAAAGGATTAAGTGGAGTAGATAATATATACACGCAACATTGTCCTTTAATAAATGAAACATTAGAGGACTTAATAAAAGGAAGATTAAGTACGCAGGCATTCCCATATCTCGGTAATATGATAATGTCACGAAGGTAAATTACTTATAAATGAAATAGCAAAAACTAAATACATATTAGAGATATAAATTATACAATTATATATTATCGTTCTATTTTTGTAGACCTCAAGACATAATAATATTCATGATTGGAGGTACAACTTATGAAGAAAGTTTGGCTGTTTATAATTTAAACAAACAAAATCCGGGTATAAAAATTATTCTAGGTGGTACCACTATACACAACTTTAAAAGTTTCGCAGAAGAAGTGCACCATGCCACAAGTGGTATCTTAATGCGATATAAAATCGGAAAAAATTAATAATGTTGGTATATGTCATATTCCAAAATATTTATTTTGTTATATATTTCACTATTTATACATTATGTAATATCATCCTCTCTTTTTTCCTGTGTCGTGAATATAAGACTATTTCACACCAAAACTTTCGAACGTAAATCACTGCGAAATATTGCATCAAACGAGATATTCTTCTGGATTTAATAATTTTATATTCTCTATTCTTGTCGTAAAAACATAATTTTCTTTTTGCTAACTGCTATTCATCATCCTCGTCATTCAGGATATATTCCATCGGTACATCTGAGATTTCGTCATCCTTTGCTGGTACCTTTAATAAATATGCATTATTTTTTTTAATATTGCAATGAGAAAAAATATATATATTAGTTGTTAAATTTTGTGATTTGAATATTTTACACTATCATTTTATAATAGAATTTCACAAATTAAGTCTTAAAATAAATTTATTTAAAGCTATATGAAAAATTTTATTAACTATTTCCATTTCTCTGAAGCTTCATATTTTCTTAATTATTTGTGTAAAATATTATCTATTAATTTTTAAATTTTATTAATGAATAATAAATTCTTAAATTATTTATATTATTTCTATCATCAAAAATATTAATTTGTATATAAGATATTTAAAGTTCTTATTAGATGTATTAATGAGGAGTCTATATTACATTTTGGAATACTTTACAAATATAATTCCATATCTAATGTTAGAATACTTAAATCTCCC